CCCTCCATCCCTACCGCCGCGGGGTGTCATCAACTGCCTCTAAGCACTCAGCTAGGACAGTTGCCCTTGAGCCGGTCTAGCTAGGTGCTAGACCCTACCGTTGTGGCTGGCACTAATCCAACGTTGGCGATTGCCCCGGACGCTCGACCATGATGGATCAACCGACTCGTCGGCAAGCTTCAGACATCCAGGACAAATTCAACCGGTTGTTGAATCTCGACACGTTTTGATAACTTGGGAACCGGATCGCGATCAACCTCGGCGTCAAGATCACATTTCTAGCGCTTAGGCCTCTATCAACCAGTGAATACCCCTCGGTAACTTTGACGATTTAGACGAAATCAGGCTAGGGGCTTTGGGACTACGAGCACATGGACTCGATTCTTCAAGTTCAGATTCAACGTCTTACGTGTGCCCTAGACTGTGGTTCACTATGCACTGCGAGCTCCTTTACCGGCAGAGCAATTGGGTTGACCAGGTTGATGCGCAAAGGCCTCTTGGAACGAATTCATCTGTTCCGTATTCAGGGGTTCCGGACAAGGGGTTTCGCGTTACCAGCATAGCCGTCATGTTCGTTCGAGACAACCCTCGGTCAGATGCAGTATCTGACCTGTCACACAGCTCAGGACCACTGACACCTTTGGTGTGTAACGCCTCATCTTCTCCTTTCCCAAGGAGGATGATCAAATTTCCAGATACGCCATTTCATGCAAATTGTCGTTCATTTCCATTATAGAGAAGCTCCGGCGGGGAGATCCTAGGAAGACACCTCTGCCCTGGCCTGGAGCTCTTTGTCCCCACGCATGCGACAACTCTAAGCACAAGCCAAGGTCAAGATACTAGTGAAAGCATTATCGACTTCATGCTAGTTGTCGCCATCTCATACTGGGCGGGGAGGTAATCAGGACAAGAAATGTCCTAATATGCGTGCTGCGCTACCGGCATGGAGTGCAATCCTGTCATACGTTCGCAGGGTCGGAATAGCCCCTCTATACTGACGATAATTCCATTAAGTTGCACATATAATACCGTTGACTAGCTTACACTTGAGCTCTACACCCACGGACCGCCGTCGTCTATCAAAAGGAGGAAGGTAGTGATAAACATAGCACAGCCGCGCTCAATGATCGTCACCTCAGTCGGCAGGTAGCAGTACCACTTCAGGCAAATATCAACAGGTATTATCGGCTCGTTCTGTCCCGAGTGGGTGAGTATTTCTGTGCCAACGTACGGCTTCTACGGGGTGCTGGCTACCCTCAATACGGCGTACTGAATGTGGAAGCCGCATGTGGGAGTTGAACCGGCCCGACGAGTCCATCCCGCTCTCCCGACGCACCGTGGTCACACATGACAATAATCAAGCGTCGCTCAACTCCCGCGGATCTTGAACTGGCGTGGCATCTCGTGGGTAGCTGCACATTATTCAGAAATGAAGCGTCCAAACGATCGCTCGAATCGCGCAAGAATACCACCCTGTAGCAACACTATATGCGAACATCCAATCGCAACGGTCGTCGACGACATCATGTTGTCTCTATGTCGTTTCAATGCTACCACTGGGTTGTCGTTCGGGGAATATATGGCAGAACCCTTTTCGATACGACCTGGGAACAGACTACGTTCGCAAGCTGGCTACGACAATGCGATCAGACTTAGTGACAATATTGCACAACAATCGAGATGGACCATAGCTCCCACCGGCGTGACGGTGCGCGGAGGAGACAACGGGCGCAGCGCGTTGGTACTGGAACTGTTCCATGTACACGCTCACACGATAGGTTGCAGTCACGTCTTCGTCGTACAACGTCGGCTGCGGCATCTCAGCTCGAAGGCGGTTGATACGATCGGTACTTGAGTCCTCCTCGTTGACAGGAACGGCCGTCTGATGAAAGCCGGGCTCCGGCTCGAGCTAAGAGGCTAGACTCTGAGCATCAACAGCAACTGTCAGGGGTCCGATTGATGGCTTCTCGACGCAAACCCATCACATCCCGGCTTGGTGCTGGATCAGCAGGACCTGGAAGAGCACTACGCAACGGGAGGTTGGCTAGACCTGCAAGGCACGAGCCAACTGGGGCCACAGGAGAGCCGGAGATTTCGCCGCTGTAGATGTAACCGTAAATCCCTCTGTCTTACGGACGTAACAGCCGATGACGGTGACGAGTTGATGTTGTCGTAGTCGCCAAGTCCACCTCGACGGGCGGCGGTTGGCAACGTGAGCCACCTTACTGACTGCACAGGCTCTCAAGGGACACGGCCCGTGGATTGAAAGTCAGCGACAATCGTTACGAAAAGCAGAATGGGGGCTGGGGAGTGGTTTGCTCCTTTCTCCTTGCTGGTTTCGAGTATACGATGACCAACAACGGTGCTCCGCCGGCAGCCGTTGCTCGCCAGCCCACACCCACGACCACGGTTCTGCAAATTGGTTTTGCGGGATTGAGACCGACGGTCCTCAACCAAGGTTTTGTTTCAAGCACGGGCCGACGGACTGTTCCTGGTCCCCCATTTGGGTCGGAGGAGACGATCCCCTGACTAAGGAAGACAGTCTGGGTCACATGCCACGACACGTGATCTAAACTTCAAACGCGCATGGTAGCGTAGGGGACTCTGGACCCTGAAAGGGATGGCGAGGAGGTCAAAGTTTCAGCCTCTGGGACCGGAGACGTGGTTGTTCGAGAAATGAGGTGAGATGATGCTTCACATCGTAACATGAAGAAATAAGCACCGGATCGACACCAAAAGAACTGCAGTCGGCTGTGGTTGTGAAAAAGTGGTGACTAAACCACAATTAAGCTCGCATTCAACCTCTTCAACTGTCTTACAAGGGAGAGACAGCGAGCGACGTCAATCGACAGGGAGAGAGAGAGAGAAGGACAGAGAGAGAGCCACCTCAAACTCTAAACAAAACATCAAAACAATCAACCTATTGCATCAACAAAAAAGCCAACAATAATTATAATGGAGGCAGCCGCAGCAGCAGCGGGCGCCAACATCTCGGCCACGGCAGCCCTGCATCAAGTTCCAACAGGTCTGGGCTTCGGCTTCTTCTTCCTCCCCTTCGCAACCGTCGTCTGCTTCCTCATCCCCGTCCTTTACCTCTTCCCGCCGATCCCGGCAACAACCAGCGACGCCCTGCGCGCAACGCACTCCAAGATTGGCATCGCCCCGCCAAAGAGCAATCTCCGCGACCAGTTCTCCGCCCAGCACCGCGAGCCTCCGGCCGGCGGCGCCGTCGCCCGGCTGCAGGCACTATGCGTGTACCCCATCAAGTCATGCCGCGGCATTGAGATGGCCAAGAGCAAGCTGCTCCCCACGGGCCTGGAGTTTGACCGGCTGTACACCTTTGCGCAGCTCAAGTCGGCCTTTCCCGTCGCCGTCGACGACTCGGAGGAGTCCAAGGACCGGCACAGCTGGGAGTTTGTCACGCAGAGGCAGTTCCCGCTGCTGGCGACGGTCAAGGTGGACGTCTTCGTGCCGGACCCGACGAAGCGCACCGTCTTCATGGAGAGCACCAGCGACGCGTGGATCGTCTTCCGCTTCCCCTGGCAGGACCGCGGCTTCGCGGGCTTCGTGCAGTGGGTGTCCGCCAAGATCCGCGACGGGTGGCGTGCCGTGCCCGAGAGGGAGGTCCTACTGCCTGTCGAATTCCCCACGGAGAAGGAGATCCAGGAGCGCGGATACACGTACGAGGACGTGCGGGTGTGGAAGGAGATGGTGCCCGCTCTCAACATGGAGAAGGAGATCCCGAAGGAGCTGAGCCAGTATCTCGGTGTGAGCAACAAGCTCGCCATCTTCAGGGTCGACCCGAGCAAGCTGAGGGAGGTGTATCGGTGTGCGCCGACGAAGGAGGAGGCTGGGTTCCAGACCATTGTTGGCTTCCAGGATGCGGTGAGTGACATTTTCTGAAGAGATTGTAAGATAAACGTTGAGCGCTGACGAGTGAGACAGTACCCCATTCACCTGATGAACCTCAGCAGTCTTCAAGAGTTCGACTCCGAGGTGCCGAAGGACGAGGAGCTCACGCAGCTTGACGTCAGGAGGTTCCGCTCCAACATCATCGGTTTGTGGCCCTTGCAATTTCACCACACAGTGTAACGTCTCTAATTGAAGCCTCAGTCGCCGGTGCGCCCGCCTACGATGAAGAGTCGTGGAAACACGTCACCTTCACCCAGGGCACCTCAAAGATCACCGCCCCAGCAAAGTTCCAAGTCTCCTGCCGAACGGTCCGGTAAGTCCCGTCTCTGACTCTCTCTCATCTAACGGCCGGAAGCTGACTTGAGGGAAAAGCTGCAAACTCCCCAACGTGGACCCAGCAACCGGCATCCGTCACAAGGTCGAGCCCGACAGGTCCCTCCGCAAGCTGCGCGAGGTCGACGAGGGCGCGCCCAAGATGGGCTGCCTCGGCATGCAGCTCTGCCCGCTCTTTGACGGCACCACCGACCGTGTCGAGTTCATGCAGGCCTGGCTCGAGGTCGGTATGGACGTGAGCGTGGAGCAGCGCGGGGAGCATGTGTACATCAAGCAGTGATGATGGCGTTTGTTTCGTAAACCACAGTCACGGGATGGTTGTAAGATTACGCAAAGAATAGAGAAGTAATAGAAGGTAGAGGGCCGGGGGCGTCATCGTTGTTCAAAATGCGGAACAGAGAATAAATCAAATCATCATTATCAACAGCACTTGAGCCTCCATAGATAGATCATACCGTTACTCCTCCCAAAGGCCTGGGTTCGTTCCCATTACATACAACGTAACCGCCCGAACGAACAAACACGCGAGTGATTTTCATTTCCGCATCCACGGCCCCATTTGCACGCGCTCCTGGTATCCAACCAAAGACCCCTTCGCCCATCATACAAAAAAGTGTGTGAAGAACCGCTTTAATGACAAGAAATTTAGGGCATCTGTGGTATTCCATTTCGTCGTCATCATCATGATATGCCGAACCCCAGCAGCGGCTGTCGAGAGACAACAGCGGCCGGGACATTCGCTCTCACTCGCCAGCCTACTTAAGGTCGGCGGGTGTGAGCGCCTGGACCATACTGGTTCCCTCGCTGAAGCGGGTGCGGAAGATGCGGTTCGCGTTCTGGAACATGCCGTCTTTGAGGGAGACGACGATGAACTGCGAGCCCTTGAAGCGGGTCTTGATCAGCCGGCCAATGTTTTGTGTGTGCGACAGATCGAGAGCGGCGTCGACCTCGTCGAGAATGTACATTGGCGCGGGCTTGAACTGCAGCAAGGCCATAATGAGGGACAGAGCGATGAGTGATCTGCAAGTTGTTAGCATGACTGTCCAAGCAGGAAAGAAAACAAAACTTCGTACCTCTGTCCACCAGAAAGCTCAGTCAAGCTCTGCTTCCACACCTTTCCGAGCGAGACCTTGACTTCGAGACCATCGCTGATGGTCTTACCCTCGGGAGGATCCAGCTTGGCAAAACTGCCTGGCAGAAGCTCGTTGAAGATCTGACCAAAGTCGCCGTTAACCTTCTGCCATGTCTCTTCAAGGGCCTTCTTCTTGTAGTCGTCGAGGCTGATGATGGTCTCCTCAATCTTCTTCTTGTCGCGGATGACCGTCTTCATCATGTGCTTGAGTGAGACTTCCTTCTTCTCAACGCTTTCAATCATGTTCATGACCTTGGGGTTGATCTTCTTCTTCATGCCCTGGAAGCGGTCCGTCAGGTTGCGGAGCGTCGCCCTGCACTCCTTGATGTTCTGGCCCTTGAAGTCATACGGCGTTCCCGTGCGGCCAAAGTTGTCCTTCTCGTCGGCAATCCACTCGTGCTCCTTTTCCAAAGCCGCCACCCTTTGCACGGATGATTCCTGCTCCTTGTGGGACTTGTCAAGCTGGTGACCCAGCTTCTGCATCTCAAGGCTCTCCTCGGCGATTCGAGCGTTTTTGGACCGGGTTGCCTCCTCCAGAGCGTGCAATTCGTCGTCGAAACCGTGAAGCTTAGCGCGCTCGTCATCCAGCTCGGCCTGGACGCCGTCGAGCGTCTCTTGCAGGCTCGCCGTTTGCTTGACAAGATCCTCAATATCTTGCTGCTGAGCCTTGATGGCGAGTTCGACTTCCTGGAGCTGCTCTTGGGCGGCTGACAGATCGCCGGCAACTTGTTCAGAGTCAAGCTGAGCACCCTGCAGGTCCTTCTGGTGCGCCTTGACCGAAGCGGTGTTCTTCGTGAGGTTTGCTCGGAGTTTGTCGAGAGACTTTTGCAACTCGACGAGCTTCGCGTCTTTGTTGTTGTCAAAGTCTTTCATATCCTTTTCGATTCGCTTGGCATCAGCAGTCGCTTCTGAGTGCTTCTTCTTGGCTTCCGCTGTGTCGGTCTTGAGCTGGGCAATCGTCTCCTTCATGTTCTCGACCTCCTGAATGATGGACGAGGACGAGTTGCCGCTGATTTGCTCCTCGGCAAGCTTGATCTCGTGGCTCTTGAGGTCAAGCTCCTGCTTAATCTTGCGGGCGTGGTCGAGCTTGGACTTTTCGCTGGCAATCGTAAGCTGGAGTTGGTGCAGAGAGCCTTCGGCTTCCTTGAGCTGACGAGTAATGTCGTTCAGCTTCTGCAGGGTGACAAGCACACCGCTAGAGTTGGGCGAGCTACCACCAGATAGCGTGCCGGAGGGATCGTAAGAATCTCCCTCGAGGGTGATACTCCTCATGCGGACGTTGGGGTCAAAAGTGACCTTCTTGGCCGTGTCTGCATCCGCGCAGATGAGAGTGTTGCCAAAGACGTACTCCATGGCAGCAGACACCTCGTTGTCGTACCCGACGAGCGTCAGGGCCAAGTCGACCTTGCCTGGCGCGATTCTCTGGGCCGTGGCGATGGCCTGGGCAGAGGCTTTGAAAGTGTTGATCTTGTTCAGGGGAATGATGGTGACACGCTTGCGAAGCTTTCCTCCTTGAAGCAGCTGAGTACCAGTGACTTCAGTGTCGACCACGACGTTGTAGAGACGCCCACCTGCACAGATCTCAAGAGCTGTGCCGGCTTGGATATTCTGCTTGTCGAGAGTGAAGAGCTGAGCAACCAGACCCTTCACCTTGGACCGGTCAAAGTTGGGAACCGGGTCGGCGTAGTTGAAGTCAATGTTGGCAACTTTGCGCCTCAGGCCGTCAGCCTCCTGTCGAAGACCGCGGATCTGCTGTTGGAGGGAAGATTGCTGCTTGTAGAGCTCTTCTTCTTGGCCGGGTTGGAAACCCAGCTTGCCAAGCTCCTTCTCCAATTTTTGGGCTTGTGCCCTCAGACCTTCGAGGTCCTTGAGGAGATCGGCGTTCTGCTCCTTTGCCTTCTTTGCGCGCGGCTCCTCCTCCTTGATGCGTTTCTCCAAGTGCGCAATCTTCATCTTCGCTTGCTCTTGCTCGGTGAGGGCAGCAGTAACGCGATTCCTGGCGTCTTGAAGCTGGCCTTGGTAACCGCTCTCCTGTCCATCCTTGGATGCAACACCGGTCTGCAGTGTCTGCAGCAGCTCCTCCTTGGATTCGACTTCTTGGCTCTGCTTCTCGAGGTCATCTTTGGCAGCGTCGTACTTCGCCTTGGTCGCCTCATATGCCTCGGTCTTGCTTTGCAAGGTCGCTTCCAGCTCGGCCACTGTCTTTTCCACGGCGGTCTTCTTTTCTTTCTCTTCAGCCATGCTGGACTTCTTCAGGTCCATGACTGTCGCCAGTCTCACAATCTCGTTGGAATGCTTCTTGACGGCGTCCTCCAGACCTTGTGCCTTTCCTCCCTTCTTGAGCTCCTTGTCACGCTGCGCTCGCACTCTCCTCACATCCTCCTCAAGATGGGAAATTTCGCTCTTCAACCGTGTCGCAGACTCCTCGAGGGCCTTTTGTCGTTGCTTCTTGCCGTCGAGATCTGATGCGAAATGCTCCAGCCTTTCTTGGTTTTGTACGTAGTCGTGCGCGACAACCACTCTTGTCAGACGCTCGAGGTCGTTTTGAGTTTGTTGGAAGTCGAGGAATGCGCGCTTCTCTGTCCGCAGCTTCTCGAGCTTGGGCTCGATTTCTTCTGTCAGCAGACCTGTGATTTCTTGTAGCTTCATCTCTTTCTTGGCCATCGTCTTCAGTGCCTTGTCCCTCCTATCTTCGAACATCCTGGTTCCCGCGGCTTCCTCAATCATGGCCAGGATCTCTACAGCCTTCATGTTGAGGACTTTGGTGATCCGACCTTGCATAATGAGGAAGTTGGGGTTGTTGATGTTCAGCTGCACAGACTGGAAGAGGTTCTGCACTGTCTGCTGTTGCGCACGATGTCCGTTAATGAGGTATTTGGACGTGCCGCCGAGGACGATCTGCCTGGTGACGCTGATTGTCGCATACTCTTCGAAACCGATTGGTGACTTCTTCTTATCCCTATTATCGAAGACAATCGTAACGCTCGCTTTCGTGACACCGGCCTGACCGCGCTTGTAGATAAGGTCCTATGGCAAATCGCATCAGCATGCAGTCAACCGGGAACGGTCATCCACTATGTCTTTCTTACCTGGAGATTTTGCGCTCGGACTGTGGTCATGTTCGTAATACCCAGAACGAAGCAGATGGCATCCAGAATGTTGGACTTGCCAGAGCCGTTGAGGCCAGTGATTGAGTTGAAACTCTCGTCCCTGTTCTGTGTAAGCCCTCATCCCCTCTCGACCCATCGGATGGAAGCAATGTTTGTTTACCATCCTGAAATCACCGTCCGCACGGCGTACGACTTAAAGCCCTGAAAAATGTCAGCGCAAGAAAGCAAATGTAGGTGGGATCGAGTCGCATACGTCTATAATAACTTCTATGACCCTCATGCTGCACTGGTTAGTCGTTGTCGGTGTTGTTGCTGAGGAGGACTTTGTCGGTGTCGAGACTTTTTGTTTACTTTCGCTCGGTCGCGTTTCCACTTCACCCTCCCTGAGTCCCCCCCTCGCATGGAACCCTCGCCCGCTTGTCCCGCCCGATAAGGCCCTTATCGGTTGCAGCAACCGCGAACTTGCCGCAAGCGCGACTTGTCATTGCCCCAGGCCAGGGAGCCCCACGACCTTCAGCCGCGCTAAGCCAAATGCGGACTCGACCAAAACATTCGGTTCGCAACGCAATTGATGAAGGCCCATCAACACCACCGCACACACATCTGTACAGCTTTGCTTCCCACTTTTGCTATCCTCTTTTTCCCCTACCAAGCTCCTTTACTAACCTCGACTCCCACTCGACCTCCATGACCAGCTAGCATTTCACCTTCTCTTCATAGCGACACTATTGCGCCTGTCGCGCCCTACCCCTCACAATGGCTACGATGCGAGGCACGCGTGTGCCCGTCGGCTCCGCGTCATGGATCTCTGAAGAACGAACGACCGCCCTCAGCATCGTCCAGGCGGAAGCCGAGGAATTTTCTTTTGCCGCGAGAAACGAGCTGGACTGGCTTAACGAACACATGGCCGGGATCTTCAACGAGAACGAAGTGCACGTACATCCTTGTCACCAGCAGGCATCAGTTACTAAGACTGTGATCAGGAACGTGGCCGAGATTTTTAAGACTCCAGGAAAGCTTCGTGGCAAGACGCCACGCACGGCGCGTAAAATCGACAATGGCGAGCCTCGAGTGGTGAGTCTTCTGTAGCCCAGGCGCGACAATCATGGCTAACAATGTGCAGCCACTATCAGACGTCTTCTCCGCAACTCCTCAAGGCGCGCCGACCGCCTTCACACAACAGCTTGCTCGGAACTCAACACCGAAGCTCAACGTGGCGAAATCAACATCATCACCCCTACTTAGCAGAACTGTCTCCCCGCATAAAGCGGCCGCATCCCCCAAACCCGCCGTCACAAAACAGCATGTCGCCCTTGCTGATTCTGGCTACTACGGCAGCCAGGACATGGACAACATTGACGACGATGAAGACGACATGGACGTCGATCTTATCGAAGACGATACCCAAATTGCCGATGTTCGATCCAGCCCTCCCAAGACCGCCGGAAAGAGCGGTCACGTCGCCTTCGAGACCAACGATGAGGAGAACGCGCCACCGAGTCCGACCGTAACGAGGACAATGCGCTCACCTGAAGTCACATTCCAGACTGCAAAGGAGGAGCAGACGACCCGAGTGATGAGGGATATCACAGTGGAAGCCTCAGAGGAAACTTCCGAGTCACCAGCTCCTGACAGTCCGGCCAAGGAAACCGAGGTCGCTACATCTCCCATCAGATCCCCCAAGCCTCGAGCTGCGAAGAGCGTCTCACCAGTCAAGACATCTCCAGTCAAGACCTCACCTGTCAAGCGCTCCCCAGCCAAGGAAGCCTCTCCTGCGCCATCCCCGGAAGCAGCGCCATCGCCCTCTCCTGCTCCTACACCAGCTGCCGAGACTCAGGAGGACGTGGACGTCCACCTGGACGAAGACATCCGATCACCGTCCGTTGATTCGAGCCCGATTCGCCCTGTTAGGAAGAGCAGTCTCAACTTCGCTTCGCTACCCGCCAGAGAGCCTTTGAAGAACAAGAGCCTCGGACCTCGAGTGTCAAGGACAAGCCATCTGGATAACCACCGCACAAGTTATTATGGTCGACACACTGGTGGAAAGAGCCTGGGCAACAACATAGACGTTCCCAGTGCTTCAGAGGATGAAGAAGACGAAGATGCTGATGATATGGACATCGATCCTGTGACGGATGCGGCAAAGGAGGAAGACAGCTACGCGTCTACCCACAACAAGGCGTACACTCAGCGTTTGCAAGACCAAATCAACATGCTGGGTAAATCTCAGCCCAATGCCACCCGGCCTTCCAAATCGATCCCGAGCTCCGCAGTTGCCCAGCAGCTTGCTCAAGCAACTGCACAGGCAGCTCCAGAGACTAGACCAGCGTCACCAAAGAAGTCTTCAGCAGCACCACCAACACCTGGCGCGTTCCCAGAAGACGACGAGGAAGACGACGATGACTGGATTGCACCTCCTGTTCCTGCGAAGGACGCCCCAGCTTCCCCTCCCCGACCGCGTCTGCCTAAGAGTCACACCGCCGATGTCATGGAGGGCATTGATGGCGCAGACACTGTCAGCGGGTCGGAGTTTGCTTTCCCCAAGCAGAAAGAAACACTTGGCCGGCCTGGTTCTCCGAAACGGGCCCCTGTCGTGCCTGATCGTACCACTAGCTCGCATGGCCATGGCAAGTCTGCTTCAGTTTCCGTCTTGCCCGATCTTTCCAAGGACAAGATGACCGAAGACTTGGTTCCTTCCCAGAAGCACATTTCCGTCTCCAACCCTCTGTCTGTCGTGCCCGAGGATGGACGGCCTGAGTCTCCCAAGTCGCCGACCAGAAGCTTCCGAGACAGCCCGCTGAAGCAAGTCAAGAACAAGCTGTCTTCCATTCTGAAGACTTCGAAGGGTCTTCTTGCTAGCAGTGCGGCCATCAGCGCCGAGGGCAAGTCCTCCATGATGTCACCCTCCACAGTACGACTCGGGTTTCATTCCGAGTCGTCTACGGAATCTATCGTTCCTCAGTCCATCTCAACGGAGCCGCTGTACCCCGACTTATCAAAACATAGGACAGTTGACTCTCAGGCGACAGCCACTACTGGAAGCCCCGAGCGCCCTGTGGCCCGGAGAACAAGGGCATCTGTCGAAAAGGAGAAGGAGGACAAGCGCAAGGAGAAGGAAGCACGGCTGTTCGCTGACCAGATGAGCAAGCTTGATAAAGCCAGGGCTGAAGAGCGAGAGAAGGCCCGGGTCTTCAGTGAGGAGCAAGAGAAGATTGCGGCGATGGAGAAGAAGATCGCCGCCCAGAAAGAAAAGGAGAAGGAGAAGGAGAGAGAGAAGGAGCGAGAGAAGGCCGTCCGGACGCCGGCACCTAAGGAAGCGCCAAAGCCTACGAGGACCAGCCCACGCAAGGCCAAGAACCAAGTCGAAAGCGATGCCTCTGCTCCTGCTCCACAGCCAGAGAAGCCAGATGTGGAGATGGCCGAGGCGCCAGCCCCTGTGCCGCCCCCTTCAGCCTCTCGATCCGCCGGCCCGGGCCAGGCGACGAGGAACAGAGAGCTCCGCCGCCCTACGAAGCCGACGAAGGAGACTGCCAGCAGGGCGAAGCAGCAACCGACCGTCATTCGTGTTAACACTACTTCTCAGCACTCTCAGTATCACCCAAGCAATAGCCAGCTGTCTTCAAACTTGGAGGGAACCCTTGGTTCATCTACCAAGCCCAAGTCACAACCCAGCTCGCATAGCAAGCAGGCGTCGGTGAACAGCTTCAAGAGTTCCGCTGGGTCAACCGGGCGACCAAAGGCCCTTGAGCTTGCTGCCAAGCGCAAGGAGCAAGAAGAACGAGATCTCCAGAAGAGAAAGGATGCCAAGCTCGAGCTCGAACGCAAGCGCGCTGCCATGCAAGAAGAGGAGCGCAAGCAGGAGATGCAACGGCGACAGGATGCCGAGAGGCAGAGAGAACAGACCGAGGCAAAGAAGAGGCAGGCTGCCATTGAGCGTGCCAAGCAGACACGAGCTCCGCCTCCTGCCGTCCGAGCTCAGCCCAACGGTCCTGTTGATTATTCCGCAAGCCAGCGGAGCGATGGACCTCCCACGCGTCCGCCCTCGCGTCTGCAATCGACTATTCCTCGATCTCAGGAGGATCGACCGGTCAATACGATTCTTTCCAACGCGTCCAAGGCCGGGTCCAAGCGACCACTCCCGCAAGACGAGGACAGCCGCAAGCCTGCCCGCAATGGGCCTTCGTACCAGGCCAAGGAAGCCAAGCGGAGGCGTACTAGTGACGACTTCGCTGATGAGCTTGACATGGACATCCAGCCCCCGAACATCAAGGGACCTCCCGTTCGGCCCCCGTCAGTTGGCTTCAAGAAGGTTTGTCCTTCTCATCATCCGACACAGATTCTAGCGTCAGCTAACAGACACAACCAGGAGATGCCCAAGCCAATGTACTCTACTGGATACAGCAACGGCCCACAGAGCGCATCGAGAGATCTGTTCAAGGGCGTTGTCACGGCCCAGCACAACAGCACGGTCAAGGCAACCAAGCAACTGGATATCAACCAGTTCGCCAAGGGAGAGATTCCGTTCAATCCCAACCCCAACCCTGCTGGCCCGGCGCACAAGACCCCGGCTCGGCCTATGGCTGCCGCAAGCACCAAGACAGCAACGATTAAGAAGTCTGCTACGCGGTCGTCGCCCCGATTCCAAGACGGCGAAAAGATTGAGTTGCCTGAAATCGACACTGATCCTGAGGATGAAGATGAGAACGACGACTTCGTGGCGCCTTGGGCTGATTCACCCGATCTGCGCCGAGCTCTCATGCGACAAGAGACTTTGGATCCTCAAGGCATCTTTGGTCCTCCTCGAGCCTTGAACATGGAAGAAGTATTTAATAACAGCAAGGAGAGATGGCACAAGTTCCGCGCCCGCACATCTAGTGCAAACTGGAGCGGATCAGACCGCTTGACGGAGGATGAGATCAGGAAAGATATTGCGGCTCGCAATAGGCTGCGCAAAGACGGCGGCTGGTCCTACGAGATGAGCAAGGATTTGAGCTAAGCCCCATGTGTGGTTTTTAGGCGTTGTTATCGTGTATCAGGGATACAGCTGTGTTGGAGACACATGCGAACGCGCTCATGAGGACATTAATCTGCGGGCAGGATCGGATGGGTGCCAGGGGAGGCCACAGGGCTATAGCATTGCGTGTGCGTATCATTCATTGCCGTAAAGGCAATACTGTGTTAAAGGACTTTATTTTTGATTGCGGGCGTTTGGAAGGCAGCATAAAGCATTGGTTTTCGAAGGCAATATTTTTCGCAGAATGAAAAGACACTATGCGTTTCTGAGCGAGACTGATTTTACTTGCTTGAACAACATACCACAGCATTGTCATATGGAAGCTGACGCCATTTGCCGAGCCAATGATGACGCTCGGGATGCATAGAGGGCTGTTCTATGACCGGGATGTCCGCTCCGTTGGCGGAGCAACCACGGCGCGTAGACACGCGTTTTGGTCTGTGAGGTCGGCGGGGGCGGGGCAGAACCGACGTCGTCCCAAGTTTCATGGTCATCTGTTTTGGCGAACCTTGACTGGCAACTCCTTGTGTTGGTTTTGCTAAGCTGGCATTGAAAACTGCTATTGCTGACATGGTCGAGGCCTATCCGCCTCGCGTTTTCGCCATGGCTATTATTCTGTTGTACCCTACCTTCTCTTGAACGTTTTAATGCGATATCGTCCTTGCTTTCTCGGACAGCGTTTCTGACCGTTCATCATCTGCTATTACTTTACTGACAGACAGGCCTGTTTTCCCGACTCAACTCTGGCTGTTTACCCTTGAAGCCTGACTCCAGAAGGACAAACGGCCGCGCAACCTGGGCTATGCCTCTGTATCCTTGTCTCTGGCTGTCGAAAAGGAAGAGGCACGGACAAAAGCTCCGTTGCGAACTACGAAGCGACACTCTTCGTCCTCATCCTGTAGTTCTTTGCTGAGTTCAAGGACTTGGTCGTCTGTTTTCAGTTTGGACCTAGATAGAATGCTCGATATCTCGGCGCTCTCGGACATCTGAGCAATCGTGTGCCAGGCGTCGTTGGGTATGCTGAAATCTGTCGTCCTGAAGAGGATGCAAACACTGGTGGAGATAACAGCGAACACAGTGATAATTGCCATGACGATCCAGTACCCTCGACGACTGACTGGCACTGTTGCAACTTCGAAGATCGTGATGGTGATGTTCTCGTTTACAGTAGGTGGGAAAAAAACTGATGAAACGATGGTACATCATCCGCGCTTTCGTGAAGTACACAGCCTGTAATGCACGTGCAAGAGATCCCGTGTCATTCATGACAGCATTCAACAAGTTGGCGTAGACTGAGTGAGCTTGTGTCATGTTCTCATGGGGCCCGCAATTCGGGCAGAACGAAAGCGGCTCGTCGAGCTAATGGTCGTAGGGCCAATTACCAGCCAATTCATCCACTTCGCCATATTCTGCTGAATTCATTCTGTTACGAGCATTAATCAGAGAAGCTTTGAGGCTAGCGGGGCTGGTGTGCATAATTCGACGGTCCTCAGGCATTGTTGAGTTCGAAGCGACTCCAAGTTGTACGCGAACATCAAGAGTTGCATCCAAATTCCAGCCAGTGTTTCGAAAGGACTTAGCTCCTTCGAATGCAGGTTTCGTGTATACTGGTCCCGTAAACACGGGCTCCGCTCTCAGTCTCGTTCTTGTGGCGACCAGCTTCAGATTCTTGGTAGAAACGCCACGCGTCATCCTAGATATAATAATGTTCTCAGTTCCTCCGTGTAAGTATCTCTAGGGCGTGTATTTGTATTGACTTACTCGTCAAACCCTTTGCAGATATTCCTTCTGATGTTGCTATAGCGATTCATGCGCCTTTGTTCTTCTTCTGAGAGGAGAAGGTCTCTGGGAGTACCATACACATTCGAGGCTTCTTCCATCACCAACTGGAACAACCTCGTGACATTGAACGTCTGCTTCATCCGGATGTTTTCCTGCTAGATAGAACAGACTGGATTGCGTTGTTGCCAGTGCCATTCACAGCTCGTACCGCCGCAGTGGGGGGGTCACTAGAGTCCTCAAGAATGTGATCAATCTTCGTCCAGTTGGCGCCGATATCCAGCGGACAAACCTGCCAAACCTGTTCTAGGTTAACAAATGGCGGAAGCAAACAGGCAAAGTTATCTGTGCCAGCCGACGAAGGCTCTGCACCAAGAAAGTTCTCCAGCGTAAGCCCGTCTCCTCAGACAGTGCCACATAAGCTGATACTCGGCGGGTTCTTTCTCAAGTGACAAAAGCTGAGGTTCGTCACTTCTAGGCGTACGCAGGTCACTCCCGATTCCACAACTCTTGCCGTGCCGCGAAATTCTTGCAATTTTCCCCTTGCTTGTGCCGAAGATAGAGGAAGAAAATACTCGAATGGTCGAGCCTGTGTCATCGATCCCTTCGTCTGTGACAGGGACTCCAGCGTACTCAGCAAACGTCTCTAATAGATAAGGTGGCTCTTGCCAGTCGTTCTTGGACCGTTCAGATTGACCAAAACGAAACGAGTAAGTCTTGTTGACGACCTTTAGGCTGCGATATGCATCAGAAGGGTGCCGCGGAAGCAGTAGATTTCTAGGTCAGAAGCCCGATTCGTGAGGTTCGGGCTGCGTACGCCCTGTGTTCACTAGATTGACCTGTTGAAAAGACTTGGCTCCGGGAAGTCATCTGTGTCGCTATCATGCAGTACTCCCAATTCCAACTTGTATGAAATGACGAACACTGAGCAGCGCCGGTACTTCAGACTAGACCAACAGAGACAGCATTTCCGGGCTCATGTTAGAGTGGACAGTGTCTTGACACGAGAGTGCCGTTCATATCTTCCGTAGACAGCTTGATCTCAGCTTGAGGGCAAGATCCGAGTGTGTGCTGATCCGTTGCTGATGATGTTCAGATTTGTCTAACTCTTGTTGCATGGGGAGGCAACGGAATCCGCCATCTATCTTGCAGGTCTCTGATGTAGTTGGGTGGCTGGCAGGTGAAGTGGCTTGACTGGTCGAGTCCCGTCGTTAGTTTGAGGCGCGGCTCATCACGCCTCCCGAGATCAGCCCGCTAGAACGGTGGCTTAGCGCACCGGTAGAGTCGCAATTCTTAGGTTCGATTTAGGCCATCGAGGTGGTAGGTATCCACATTCGGAGGTTCAGGTTGAAGCAAGGCGACCCTATCGACCACTACGAGGGCACGAGGGGCAGCTGGAATGAGCGAGCTGAGGCGTCCTTTCAGGGCTGGTGCGGATGGAGGGGCAGCCAAAGGAACAACGGCTGGGGTTTGCCGGGGAGTCCCTGAAGGGACTGCTAAATAAAAATTTGGACCCCTGCCCCATTGACCCTCTGCTGCCCGCGCAACCGAACGGACAGGAAGGACGGACGGGCCGTCAACAAGACCTTACTCTCTGTGGAAGGAAAAAGGTAAAGCAGGCCAGGTCGCAGTCAATATTTGCTTCTTCGCTTTCGCAAATCCGACCTAACCCAGCTGATGAGGCTCTCAACTCTCCTTTTTTGACGACCCGTGAACCTCTTTTCTTCTTGGACGACGTCGACACAGCGTCGTATCACGCCTTCCCCGCCATCAGCCGTCTCGTCTGCTCGCCCGTTGCCAGACCAGACAGCCCCCCTCGGCTTTGCATCTACGGCTTCTTTTTGACGTCATTCGGTGAGTTGCCCTCCCACGACAGGTCGCATGCGCGGCCACCCAATCACTTATGCATCTACCCTGAGAAACCGACGACGAAAGACGGTGAGCAGCCAACCACTGCCGGCGGCTTAGTCTACTGCCGTCCTTGCCTCCGACTGGCTGCTGCCCGCTTGGTTTACCATCGGGTGCCCTTGTCTGCATCGTCGGACCGCTACCTTTTGCTCCCCCGCGGTGCCTGGCTCCGTCATCTAGCATCGACGCCAATCCTTGTTGCTGTCTGCAGTTCTGCGAGACATAATAGACTCCTAGACTCGCGGTGTCGATTGCCCCTCCTTCCCGTTTGTGGCGTCCATTTGGAGACTGCTCGCCCGCTTATTGCACGGCTGCTTACTCGTCTGACACGTCTGATTCGCTTTGCACGCTGCGATACCTCTCACTCGCGGATACCACCACCGTTCTGTCGCAAGCTGCTCGTCTTGTGACATAACTGCTGACACACTTGCTACCATAGATCTCTACTCTCTGCACCTTCCCTCATCTTCCACGACCAGCGATCGCAGTTGACAACCATTCAACGAGGTTGCCTCTTTGACAGTTGCACCGCCTCACCTCGTCCACGCAAACTTGCAGTTGCGCTACTCCGCACTACGAGGCGAAGCCACCTGCAAGCGGCAACGTCACGCCTGCGACTTCGCCTTCCCCAACGCACACTCTGCCAATAGCTTGTCAGCCACGAGCACTCGATCGAACGAGCTGGATCCAACTTTGGGCGACTAGGAAATTTCAACAAAACTCGCTCCTCAGCACGACGTTCACATCGTTTCCATACACGACGACCGACCTTGGGATGCATCTTGCGCAAAATCACGCAGCCTTCACACCTTGCTAGCAGTTGACAACCTCTATCCACCGCCAGGATGGGAGGAGTTGACATGAGCCGCGACTACTACGCGGACCTGGAGCTTCCAGCGAACTCCGACGTGAACGAGATCAAGAAACAGTTCCGGAAACTTGGTACGGCGACGTCTTCCCCGTCCGTGCCTCCTCGTCCGGCATACTGACTTCTGCTAGCTCTCAAGTATCACCCCGATCGAAACCCGGGTAGAGAAGCCGAAGTCAACTCCAAGTTTCAGATGATTCAGTCGGCCCACGAGGTCCTGACCGATCCCGACTCGAGAGCCAAGTACGATGCTGGAAGAACACGATCGAGATACCCAACTGCTTCTGGAGTGAGGGGCAATCCATGGCAGAACGCCGGCTCCAACTTCCCGCCTCCGCCTCGTCGCAATGCCACCTCAACGGCTCGTAACCCGCCGTCGTCGGGAGCGAATAGGTACCGCAACTTTGCCTCGGGTGCGGCTCCCACGGCCAAGGCCCAGCAGCAGAGTGATCCAGAGGCGAAACGGAATGCCTGGCATGCCTTCGAGAACATGAGGGGCAAAGCGAGCCAGTCTCAACCAAAGCCCAAGAACGAACCCCCGGAGCCCCCTAAGCGACCTGTGCCACGAACACCCTCCCAAAAGCAGCGAGCAGAGGCCGCCTTTGGAGCACGCAAGGGAGGTTATGTGCCTCACTCGCCTGTTCCTGGTGACGAGCCTCCGGTCAACGCCTCCAATTACTCCACGACCAACCGTCACTCCAACATCTTCGCCGACAATGCCCGCAGACAAGGTGTCCCAGACCCTCTTGCCCAATTCCGTGAGGGCTACGCAGACAGTCGGCAGAGCACACCTTACTCCTCGCACGGAGGAGAGAAGACAAACCCGTTCGATGGGGTGCCTATTGGACGAGCCAAGAGCACTCGTGAAACTCCTCGGCAGCCCGAGGAAGGGTTCGGGCCTAACCTATCACCTGGAAGCGCTCGTCAACGTGCACAGAGTGTTCCGCGCCAGGCCAGAACTGAGCCTTCAAGTCCTCGAACGTCCTCGACGCCACAAGACGACCGACCGAACACCGCGACCGCTACGGCAGCTAACTCACCCAAGGACCCCTTCAGATCCAGAGCTAGCGCGAGATACACGCCGCCGAATGCGAACCCTGGCTTTGCTCAAGATGGCGGTCACCCCAAGCCAGCAACGGCTACTGATGGTGAGTTTATGACTGTTGGTTTCACGGAGCTCAGCTAATATAGTCCAGAACATGGAAACACCAAGTCTGCAGGAAAGCAACAGGCATCTTCAATGTACGGCACTTCTCATTATTCAACTTCTTCTTTCGCTTCATATGTCAAGCCGAACTTTACATACGGCAAGCAGCCTTCGCCCGTGATTTGGGAGGAGCCGACGAAACAGCATCAGAGCCAGAAAAGCGAAACGTCGTCCTCTGCGTCCTCTTCTCCCAGTGGAGATAGCTTGAGAAGTCACTCCCTTACACCGTTTGAGCGCAAGCAGGGCGAGCTTCTGAGTAGGCTGGTTAAGAGACAAGCTCCGGAACTAACCCCGCTTGGACGCGAGAAGCGCCAGATCACCACTTCAAAACAGAATCTCAGTCCAGTGCATCAAGCTGACAGAAGTGACTCTACTAGCTTCAACTTCTCCATCGACGATGATACCTTCACTCGTACCGAACCCGAGCAACCTTCAATCAGCCGGCGAAGCACAGACGATATTAACACCAGGTTTGTCAACAACGATGGATCTGAGGCCTACCAATTCAGTGCCGGAAGCCCTGTTCATGATGCCAAGGGCCGTTCTCAGTCTGGAAGCCGCGTAGGTCGTCGATCACCGATTAAGCGTCCGACCTTGCGACACCAGAAGGACTTTGCGGGTCAGCCTACAGGATCGCCCTCGTCCGAAGGTAAATTTGATGCTCAGGACTGGACCCAGCAGATTGGCGCCCAAAACTTTGCCCCGTCCGTGTCTACCTCCCCGACACGCACCACTCGATCCAACTCCCGCAAGGCAAAGGTGAAGCCCACGGCTGGTAGCGCCGGCTTGGTGAACGATGAATATGACAGTGATGAGGATGGTGATTGGCGAGGCCGCAAGACTACTGCAGAGCCAGTCGGCGCGAAGAGCCCGAACGCCATGGATATTGATCCCCCACAGGCCGGAGGCGCCCCGAATGCTGCTCAGTCAAACGGCGCGAGGAACATCCCAGTTGAGCCTTCTCGCCCGGAATGGAGGCCCGGTAACGTCAATGGAGTGACGGAAACCGCACCCAAGTCTACAGTGCGGAAGCCTGACTTCAACCCCAACGCCGCAGGCTCTGAGGACAGTGAAGAGTTTAGGGCCAGCTTTGCAGATCTCAAGAACGTGGCGCCGTTTGCGCAAACTGCTTCCGGACTTGGTTCCTTGGGTGACCTCAAGATGAACCTTCCCTTCGAAAGCCAGCCATCTAGCAGCATTCCTATCGAGAAAGAAAAGAAGCCGGCACTTGAATTTCCGGTGGTGCCCGTGGCACCGCGCCCTCCTCCCACCTTTGCGGTCGGTCTGAAGCCAACGGGCGGGGCTTGGCAAAAGTACATCCAAGACTTTCAAAGCTATGTTCTCAGATGGGAAATCTTCAACGCTCAGGTTATCGAGCATTTCAACGCCCGCAAGACAAACATTGCCGATCTTCGAGCCCGCAAGGGCTACGACTTCATAGCCTCTCGTGGCGACGAAGAGCTGATGGAGTACCTCGACTGGATGCAACAGGACAAGGAGGTGCGGAGAAAATGGGCTTTGGCATGCGAGGACCACGAAGCACGCATCCGAGAGTTCATGCTATATAAGAGCAAGATGAAATGAAGAATGACATGGAGAAGCCATGTCTTGAGAGGAGTGGACTGTATCCTTGTTCTCTGCCTAGGAAATGGGCTTTTTTCGACTTTGACGACAGCTTGGACTGATGGGAAACGACACGAAACGATACCCGGCATTTGGGAGGATATTATTCACGCTTCGACTTGTCTCTCACTTCTTGCGACTGAAAAGTCCGCATTGCACATACGTTCGGTCGCCGACGTGCGGCGACAATTCATTACGACATAGACGGGGGGTGTGTTGCCTGTGTACACTTCATATTTGCTTTACATCTCGCAGTCTCCTTTCTTCGCACTCGGTCCTGGGTCCCTCAATTTGATGGAGAACGGTTACGCTACCCTGGAAACTCAGATATGGCGATGATACGCCGAGCCTTGGTTGTTCTCTGCCTCGGCTAGCTTGGAATGGGTTGTGTAATACTTACTAAAAACTTGGTCGTCTTCGAAGGATGTTGGAGGCAGGATTGGTACTCGCGGGCAGCCAGATAGGAAGGAGACAAACATAGAAATTAATGCCATAGAATCAGCCCTACCTTTGCTTCTCATGTTATTTCCAGGCCGCGGCGATCTTGGCGCGTTCCCTACTCCTGGATGGACGGACGTGTCTGGCAGCAGAGCTCTGCTTACTGGGCCCGCTGCTTTCACAGGTCAGAGCCACGGAATGATCTTGCTGTAATTCTTATCTCCTAGTGATAGCGTCCAAGCATGGCAATCCTTTCAAATCCCCGGGCTCCTTCCTCATGCCCTGTCTGTCGTTCTATGAAGCTGACTCCTGACAAGATGCCAATAAGTCAGTCGTTTACTTCTTAAACCTGTCTATTAGAGACTAGAAGTTTCCCGTTCAGTCTTGGTGTTTCTTGCCTTTATCTAACACCCTCTTGACTAGGTTGCTAGAGTGCTCTTTGATGTGAAGGGGACAACTACCTCGAGTTAGGCTACAGAACCACTTCGAAAGAAAGTAAGTCACACGGCCAACCATCTCACCCAAGCAAGTGTTGCCAAAGACAGTCTCTGTGATCCAAGGAGCCTGCGTGTATCATGCCCCTTGCCTGGCAGAGGCAGGTATCAACTTTGATTAGCAGATTATTCGCGTGTAGGAGTATATTGGCCATGAAACCAGTAGCAGTTGTCCTCTACCCTTTCAACTCAGTTCTCGCCTTAAAGGCACCCAAAGTATTGCTGTCTGTCTAGATGTCTGCGTCTTTCTCTCTCGGGGAAGCTACAGTCTCAAGCCCTTCTCGCCTTGTGAACTTCTTGTCACCACGATGTCAGTCAACAACATGCACAGCGAGAGCAGCCTTGGACCATGAGACCCGCCTCCTTCCCTCTAGAAACCTGAAGCAAGCTGCTTTCGTTACTCCTCTTCTATTTAAATCTCTGCCTTCCCCCACGTCTTCTCCAAACTCTTCTCCTCGCAACATCATCATCACTCACCTTTCTCACACAACCTATCCCACCAACACTCTAGCTATCCAGGAAATAACTATAACCTACCATGGCTGACTCAAAGAACGCCAACACTGCCACTGCCGACGGTGGTGAGGGTTCCGGCGCTCGAGCTGGCGCCTGGACTGAGGCTGAGAGAGTAAGTTGGGCCTCTGTTCCTATGTCTCCGTCTCCGTTTTCATGTCTGAATCAAATACTGACAGTCGTCTTCAGAGCCAGCTCCTCTTGCGCGTCCTCGCTAGTGTGCTCCCTGAGGGAAAGGGCGTCGATTGGAAGAACGTCAACATGCCCGGCCGCACGCAGAAGGCCTTGCAACACCAGTGGACCACCGTTCTGGCTCAGATCCGGGACCTCAACATTGGCGGTGACGGCACCGTCACTACCCCGGCCAAGCCCCGTGCGGGTGGGTTTTCTCAGTCCTTCAAAAGTCCTATTGCTCACAGTCTACAGCTCGCAAGAAGACGCCCAAGAAAGCTGCCGGTGCTGCCGATGGCGAGGGCGGCGATGAGGCTAACGAGGGCGACGAGGATG